TCTGTGGGTTGACTGACTGTTCTCAACATCCTTCACTTCTGTTTATTGGAGATTTTTCTTGGTCTGCCACTTCGAGCTGTGACTTTGAACTGTGCCTGTGGTCCTCCATTTTCTCACAGTGTTTCTCACAGTGGAGACTGAAAGCTGAAATCTCTGAGATAGCTTTCTGTATCCTTCCCCTAAACCAGAGATTCTTAACCTATGGGCCGCGGCCCAATTGTGGGCCCAAGCTCCACCTTGAGGGCCTCAAAAGAACAACAGTTTTTAACTTTGGACCGCAGAGAGCCGCGGGACCGCATTGATTTTAAATAAGATGCAATACACTTTCTCACCACTAGTAGCGGTAGTGCACCACTCAGTTGTTTAACAACATTTTTAATATGTAGAAGAAGAACCTTAGAAACCTGCCGAGAACTTATTTTCAAATAATTGTTATGGGCAGGTTACAATATAAAAATATTTGTCTCATAATCATGTCTTGTGATTATTTGACAGGAGTTTTACTTTTAAACTGCAAGTGTATTTAATTTAGTTATGTTAGTTATGATGTAAATACAATAAAAATTAAACCAATATTTACAGTAGATTAGAATAATTATCATTTTGATCCATACATTAGTAAAGTCTGACTGGGCCTCGTGCCACTCTATGTACAACAAATTGGGCCCCGAGGTCAAAAAGGTTAAGAACCCCTGCCCTAAACCATGACGGTGAACAATTTTTGTTTTCAGTTCATTTGAAAGTTGTTTTGAGACTCGCAAGTTGCCACTCTTCAGAGAAGATGCAAAGAGGAATAAAAACTTAAAATTGCTCCCCTTAAAAACCCTTTCTCATAATTGGAGTCACCTGTGTATGAAGGTCAAGGGTCACAGTGCCCAAATTTTCGCACACCACTGTATCTTAGGAACTATTTTACTGCTGACCTAAAAACACGATACATGTTGTAACTTCTCTTTGTTCACACTGCAGGCAAAAGTGGCCCAAATCTGACATTTATTTTGTCTACCGTATATGTGATCCATATCTGATTTTTCATTTCATTTATTTAAAAAACACAGCACATTAATCAATATTCCAAGAATATAAATGCACCAGAACAAGCACAAGACAGCCTTAACATCACAAATCTAATTGTTTCAATTCAAGTTAATCTTTACATGTTGCCTCTGGGTCCATTTTTAGAAAATATAAAATTCCTTTCCACTGTTTTGGTGATGACATTCGGCTCTTACTGCCCATTAAGCCAGACTCTGCAAATCTACTCCAACCACTCCTGAGCTGTCTGAATGACAGAAAAATCTGGTTGAAATTGAATTTCCTGATCTAAATGAATGCTTTGGTAAATGTACAGTATTTCTTTTGACGTTCTTGGTGCCCTGGCTTCATACATCTGCTCTGCTCTCAGAAACGTGGATTTGATTTTCAATAGTGCCTTTAAATTGGAAAAACAGATTAACTCAGTTGTTAAAGTTTTTTCCAACTAAGACTTGTTGTCAAGGTGAAGTCACATCTCCTAATCAAAGACCTTGAAAAAGTGATTTATGCTCTTATTATCTCTCAGTTAGATTGTTGTAATGCTTTGAATGTTGGTTCAGATAAATCATCACTGCATTGTTTACAAGTTGTTCAGAGCGCAGGAGCTTGTCTTTTAACAAGAACTAAAAAACATGAACACATGTCTGGTTTTTAAATCTCTCCGTTGGCTTTGCTTTATAATAGGTTTGAAGGGGGAAGGGGATATTATGTATTTTCTAGATTCATAGTTCAGTTCTATACCGCAATCAGTTGTTATGAAAATGCAGAATATGTTAAAAATAAATTGGACTTTCCATTAAAGTCTCTCTAAACTTCTTTAAATTGACCTCTGTCTGTTTAAGAACCCACTACTGTTTCAGACACTACCACTTCAGCATGTAATCTCCACATCTCCACAACAATGTTTCGGCGGAGGGGCGCTCTGTGGG